CACTTTTTATCGATATTAGAGAAACCAACCATGAAAAAGTAAGATTCACTAAGTGGATTGGATGAAAGTAAGGGTTTCGTTTTGCGAAAAAAACGTACAATACGCAATTTCGCTAAAAAAACATTTAGCTAGCAATTTCGACCTTTGACTCCACTCAAGACGTCACTTTTTTAATTTTGCGGTATCATATTTTTGGAAAATCTTTATGAATATTATATAAAAAGTCTCTTTAATATCTATATTTCATATTTTTATCGATTTTTAAAGTTTTTGCGAAAAGTATTCAATTATTTTTGCTATTTGGTCGGGTAAATGTCAGATTTGCGACATTTTCTGATATGATATTCAGATTCTACGTTGATAATAATGCATATAGAACCCTCTTGCTATTGTGTCAAAATTGCGAAACCGATAGCAAAAATATCTCGCAATATCAAAATTGAGATATTGAGTGAATTATGCATTATAGAGATTAAAAATCTGATTTGTGAAAACATCTCATCAGTTTCTAGCTAATTCAAAAATCTTTACTATCTTATTCGATTAAAATGAAAAGGGAATAGTTTCATTATGCTTTAAATGACAGCTTTATAATATAATCATAGTTTTCGCTCAATATGCAGCATTTTTTTTTCGAAATCTATGGTCAATATCCTAAATACTGATTGCTTTGCATTCATATCTCTTACATTTTCTATACCCACATCACTATTCATTGCTATTCCTATCTTTTTCATTTTTGTTTGTTTCTCATAATTTCTCAAAAAACATGATAACTTGATATTTGTAAATATCATACTTTATAACGTAAATAAGAACTTGACCTATTAAGAAAAGCAGTAATGAAAAGAAAATCTGAAATTCATAAAAATTACAAGTTTCTGATGACAATTAGCTTAATTAAACCAGGTACAAGATTATATAATTGTATTTTCTATCCAATTATCCATATAATATCTTATCCAGAAAAAATAACTTGATCAATACCAAATGATTTTTTAACTAGTAAATAAAGTATTTTCTTTACACACACATTGTATATCATAGTTTTTTTTTGGTTTCGCAAAACATCCAAAAACAAATATGCTATAAAAGTGACAATTTTAGCAAAACGAAACCCTTAATGAAAGCAATCGAAATTACATTTATCTTCTCAATTCTGCAAGCTAACCTTGATAATATTGTAAATGAATGTAATTGGGTCGCTCGAATCTTCGTACAATACAAAGCGCAATAGAGTATACATGAGTAGTGCATTATGAGTCTATTGTTTAAAATGAATAATATCGTTAAAATTGTAAATTTATAGAGAAATGAGAGTAAAAAATTCGAAATAAATTAGTAGTTGTAAGTAAAGTATGTTTGAAATCAAGCTTTATATGGCCTGCGTAATGTTTATTCCTGGTTGATTCCCTCAAGGATTGATGGGCGGACACCCTCACGAGCTGGAAGGCTGATGAGTGGGTGCTCGTTCTCACCGATGACGAAAACGTTCATGATACGTGTGGCGAAGACAGCGCCAGATGTATCCTTAAGGTGAACGATATCGAAGGAAGCCATCTGCTTCTCGATCTTCTGGATTGTTCCGACACGGCCGACGTTACCACCAGCTGTAACCATGGCAACATCGCCAACCTTGAACTTGATGACGGATTCGACTTCGCCTGTCTTGATGTTGAACTTGAGAGCATCATGGACACGGACGGATGGATCAACATAGGAGATTGTACGGCCATCGTGTGTAACAACGTGTGGGATACCCTTGGCACCAATCTTGAACTGGTTGACACGAAGAAGCTTGAAGGAGGCTTCCTTAGCTTCGATGTGGTGGACGCAGAAACGGCCCTTGCAGTCGTAGATGATACGGAAGAGTTCGTTGGATTTGCCGAGTTCGATGACATCCATCAAACCTGTTGGATAACGATAGTTTGTGCGGACCTTGCCATCGACCTTGACGAGGCGGCGCTTGACAATAGCGACGGCTTCCTTAGCTGTAAGAGCGTATTTAAGGCGATCACGAAGGAAGATGTTGATTGGAAGGCATTCACGAAGTTTGTGTGGACCTGTGGATGGGTGGGAAGCGAACTTACCCACGGACTTAGCAAGAAGCCAGTGGTGTGGAGCTGTGAGGCGCTTAAGATGGAAGCGTTGGCAACGTGGCATAAGAAAAAGGACCGACCATGAGAAACTTTTTTTTTCTTCTCATTGCCAAGAATAAGAAAAAGGACCAATCATTATCTAATAGAATATAAATTGGGTTTATTAAAATGAACATTTTCTAAAAGGGGGGAAATTCGTCGACAACAAAGGTATCGACCCAAATTGTTCCCATTATGCTTGACATATGAAGTATAGTAATAGTGTGTATGGACTCATAGAATGGCTTTCGTTTGATTTCGAGATATATTATATGATCTTCTAAAATATCCATATTTTACTTGATAACGCAGATGTTTTATCGTACTATGAAAATTAAACGAAAAATATGGCTCAAGACGAGCAAAATTCGATGCTAAAAAAGTAAATTGTTTATTGATTAGCGGGCTTTCAGGTATTTTTTTTTGAAGTAACGCTTTATTCGTTTTTCTTACTACATCTGTATATAAAATATGCAAAAATAAGGATTTATAATTAAAAGTATTATTCGAATTGGGTAAATAAATCGTTAGATCTTAGATTTTATTAATCATTTCTTCTTAAAATGAGACTGTGGTAATGGGAACTGTGTATGAGAGTTGGAGTATTGTTAAATTGCGCGAAATGTTGATAAGTTTTAAAAACGATTTGTAGTATGTTCAAGTATATTAGAATTTAATGAAATGTGATAACATCGACTAAAAACAATCGATTTTAAGTGATTGATGAAAATCGATATCAACATTTAAAATTTTCGAGGTTTTTTTGACTGATTGCAATTGCTTTGGACACCTAGAATGAAGTTCTCCTTGGTGAATTTCTCCAAATTTTTTCCACATTAGAAAAAGACTAAGCAATTTTTTAGAAAATGATAACGTTTTTTTTCAATTCTCGATTTTTTTTGGAAAAATGAGGTTATTTTTTTTGAAAATTTATAATTTAGAGAGAAATGAACCATTTTCGTTGTGTTACAAATCGATTAAACCCTTTTATTTTTGTTATTCTATAATATTTCTACTAAATTATGTCGATTATACAGCAAAATCAAATATCTATATTTCAAAGATATAGAAAAGAAGTATATATTCCAAAATTATAAATCAGTCATAGTTTACTATCAAAAATAATATATTGTTCTATATAGATAACCATCCATGGTTAGTAATTTAAAATTATTTCTGGTTCAAATTAAGGATTAGAGAGAGGGTCAAAGTTGCTATTTGTCACTTTTCCACAAGAATATAATGGGGAAAAAGTTATCATATAGTTGATCTCATTCACTGAGGTGAGAGATGCATGTAGTGTAATGTGATAAACAGTGGGATTGCTGCTCTAAGTTCTAGGTTCGAGACACATTGGCTTCATTTTTCTCTTTTTTATTGACGTAAACTATTCAATTTTTGTGTTCTCCATTCAAATTTCAGAATTTTTTTTGCAGATTTCACGCTACATTCGAAGTTACCTTTTGTAACAACCACCACTGCCTACGAAAGACGAAAGTGTGTCACGATTTCACCCGGAAATCCGACGGTTGTTTAAGAGTAAGCACTTTTGGCACCTACTCTTAAGGATTATCTTCACATGTTTAGAAACCATTGTAAACATCTAGAAAACAATCAATAATATCATGATTTTATTTACAAATGAGTTCAAGGTATATATATATTGTGATTCGATTTTCGATAATAAATCTGAATCAAATGTATATTAAACTCGCACATTTAGTCTTCTTATCATAATAATGTTATCAGTTAGTGATTATGGTTACAAAACAAGCAACATTAGATCTGTATCTCATAATCAAACGGAAGTTAAGTTAAGATATTTGAGATTTTATCACCTGATAGTATGCATAATACTATACCAGAGTGACCAGTCAATCTGTTGTTTCAATATCGTTTCAAATTTTTTATACCAAAATAGTACTTTGGCTATCATTGATAATACGTAGGGTTGCTACTGTTGTAATATTTCGAAAAAATAAATGTATCAACTTTAATGCAAGATATGATGAGTTGAACATTGAATAATTGAGTTTTTGTAATATTAATATTCTTTAGTCCCTAGTATATCATTGTTTCATACTAATAACGTGGATCAATTCCGTTTCAATGATCAAATAAAGCAGAAACAATATACTCAGGTTCCACTTTTTTGGTCTAAAAAATAAGTCCCCCCTTTTTTTCATTTTCTCTCATAAAAATGGGAAAAATTTCATAAATACAAATATTTGGGAAATATTTTGTACAGCTCACAATTATTAATATGTTTCTCAAAATAGATTAAAAATTGAAAACCGCTCCACACATTCAATTTTTATTTTGGTAAAATATGATCTGATTATTTCGGATCTTTTGACTCTGAAAAGCAATTATACCGCAAGAAAATAGTGTACCGCATTTTAATTGATCTCTTTCGTAATATTTTACTTCTTAAATTTTTTAATGTCTGATCAAGACAGTAATCAGAGCAAATACAGTAAACTGCAAAGTGTCTACAAGTATTACATTGATTCATATGATGCGTTATATCAGCTGAAAACGGAAAAAGAAGAAGATTTAAACTCGATTTACAAAATGATCAAAACGAATTTGATTGATTCAAAGAAATGCCTTCCCCAAATTATAACAAAAGATATTTTGGATATCATTCCGTATAATAATCGCTATACAAAGTCATATTTATCTCTTGCCAAACTCGTATCAGATGATTATCAAATCAAAGAGTTCGGCAATGTTGAACTTGTTTCAAACTTTTTGTTTTACAAAGAATATGGCATTGAATTAGACAAGTCTGCTAATTTCGAAATTATTAAATCAGAAAATCTCGACATTCATAAAGAAAATACAATTTACAAAGCAATTATGAATAATGACTTAGAAGTATTCATTTCATTCACTGAAAGAGAAGGATTTGCTGAAAATCAAAAACTTCAAAGTAGTTTATACCCATGTTCTGAAGAAGGATTTTCATTACTTGAATTATGTTGTTACCATGGAGCAGTTGATTGTTTCAAGTTCTTAAGAACTAAATTTAACTCAGAAATAACAAAAAGATGTCTAACATTTTCATTTTTGGGAAGAAATCATGAGATAATGAGTGAATGTTTGAAACAACAAAAACCAGATCAAGAATGCATGAAATATGCAATTATTTCACATAACATTGATTTTGTAACATTCTTAGTGAATGAGCACATCATAAGTATCGACTTGCACGCTTGCGGAAAATATAATAATCTTGATTCATTTTTAGTTTTTTACGATCAAACTAATCTTTTAATCAGCTGCTTGATTTTTTCACCGATGTTTAATATTCCATCCCTATGCGAATATTTCCTTTCATTAGGTGTAGATATCAATAAAAATCTTTTAAATGGAAAAACCGCTCTTCATATAGCAGCACGTTCTGATAGTAAAGAAACAGCCGAACTTCTTATTTCACATGGTATTAACATCAATGAAAAAAATAATGATGGAGAAACCGCTCTTCATATAGCAGCACGTTCTGATAGTAAAGAAACAGCCGAACTTCTTATTTCACATGGCATTAATATTAATGAAAAAAATAAAAAAGGAGAAACTCCTCTTCATTTTGCAGCATTTAATAAAAATAAAAAACAGTTGAACTTCTTATTTCACATGGTGCAAATATCAATGAAAAATATAAAGATGGAACAAACGCTCTTCATAAAGCAATATTTAGTAATAAGAAAGAAACAGTCGAATTTCTTATTTCACATGGTGCAAATATCAATGAAAAAGATAAATATGGACAAATCGCTCTTCATGATGCAGCACATCGTAATAGTAAAAAACAGCCGAATTTCTTATTTCACACGGTATTAATATCAATGAAAAAGATAAAGATGGAGAAACCGCTCTTCATATAGCAGCACGTTCTGATAGTAAAGAAACAGCCGAACTTCTTATTTCACATGGTATTAACATCAATGAAAAAAATAATGATGGAGAAACCGCTCTTCATATAGCAGCACGTTCTGATAGTAAAGAAACAGCCGAACTTCTTATTTCACATGGCATTAATATTAATGAAAAAAATAAAAAAGGAGAAACTCCTCTTCATTTTGCAGCATTTAATAAAAATAAAAAACAGTTGAACTTCTTATTTCACATGGTGCAAATATCAATGAAAAATATAAAGATGGAACAAACGCTCTTCATAAAGCAATATTTAGTAATAAGAAAGAAACAGTCGAATTTCTTATTTCACATGGTGCAAATATCAATGAAAAAGATAAATATGGACAAATCGCTCTTCATGATGCAGCACATCGTAATAGTAAAAAACAGCCGAATTTCTTATTTCACACGGTATTAATATCAATGAAAAAGATAAAGATGGAGAAACCGCTCTTCATATAGCAGCACGTTCTGATAGTAAAGAAACAGCCGAACTTCTTATTTCACATGGCATTAATATTAATGAAAAAAATAAAAAAGGAGAAACTCCTCTTCATTTTGCAGCATTTAATAAAAATAAAAAACAGTTGAACTTCTTATTTCACATGGTGCAAATATCAATGAAAAAGATGAAAATGGAGAAACCGCTCTTCATAAAATAGCAGCATATCATCGTGAAGAAACGGCCGAACTTCTTATTTCACATGGTATAAATATCAATGAAAAAAATAACAATGGAGAAACCGCTCTTCATATTGCAATATGGCGTCAAAATAGATTAACAGCCGAACTTCTTAAATCATATGGTGCAGAAAACTAATGTTCCAACGTTAGATGATATGATTTTAAAAAGATAATATTGGAAAATTAAACACTCTTCAATATTCAGCATTCTAAAAGCAGTTTAAGTTAATAAATATCCAATTTATTTTCAATTCTATTTTTAAGGTCCATCTGACTTTAATTCCAATTTTTGACAACCTTAAACATCTGAATTGAAAGCCATGTCATAGGGGCGTAAGTACACCCTAAAAAAAACTTCTAAATAATGGTCATGCCTCATATTTCGTAAGTACCTGATATGAGAAATCTTATCATCGTTAAATGATGTACTTGAAATTTCTGTAATCGATGAATATTGAATTCCATAACGCTTTAAAATATTTAGGGATGCGACGGTTTTACGCCATGACCGTTTAAAAATAGAATAATACGCCATTTTTGGGGCCGAATGGCGGCTACTTCGTACCCGCCATTCGGCCGAATAACAAAACAATACAAAATTATCGCCGTCCTTTTTTTTTCTTTCTTTCTTTCTTTTTTTTTCTCTCTCTCTTTCTTTTCTCTTTCCTCTTTTTACTCCTCTTTCTCTTTTCATCATTAAACGTAGAAAGATATATTAATATTATTTTAAAATTAAAAAAAAGAAAGAAAGTATAATAAGTAATTATTTAGTTATCGATATATATATGTAAAGTGATAATCTGAGGATAATCTGAGGAGGAGTCTGAGGATTAGACCGAGGAGTAGTTTGAGGAGTTTGATGATAATCTGAGGAGTTTGATGATAATCTGAGGAGTTTGAGGATAATCTGAGGAGTTTGAGGAGTAGTCTGAGGAGTTTGAGGAGTAGTCTGAGGAGTTTGAGGAGTAGTCTGAGGAGTTTGAGGATAATCTGAGCATAATCTGAGGAGGAGTCTGAGGATTAGACTGAGGAGTAGTTTGAGGATAATCTGAGGAGGAGTCTGAGGATTAGACTGAGGAGTAGTTTGAGGATAATCTGAGGAGGAGTCTGCGGATAATCTGAGGAGTAGTTTCAGGAGTAGTCTGAGGACTAGTCTCAGGACTAGTCTGATGAGGATGACTCTAAGGAGTAGTTTGAAGAGTAGTTTCAGGAGGAAGATCTGAGGAGGAGTCTTATGAGGAAGATCTGAGGAGTAGTCTGATGAGGAGGGGTCTAAGGAGTAGTCTGAGGATGATGAGTAATCTGATAAGGAGTAGTCTGAGGATGATCTGAGGATAACCTGATGACTAGTCTAGGAGTGGTCTAATAAAAATGTAAAATATTTTCAAAGAAAAAATTCTATGAATTTTATATTTTAATTCTTAGCATTATACTGAATAAAATAAACATAAATATCAAAATTTGAAATTGAACACGCCAAAAAATTGATAATCCACATTCAATATTTTGTAAGTGGCGTACTTTTTGAATATTCGCCATACGCCTTGGAGTTCTCAATTTTGAATTCGCCTTTATTTGGGCGACCTCAGAAAAATACGCCATTAAGAAAATATTGTATGAGATTTTAAATTTGAACACGCTCTACCTTAAGGAATTAAATTTATTAAGATATATTTATATATAATAAACGATTACTTAAAAAAAGTATTTCATCACTTATGTAAGTTTCAAAAAAATCACGAAAATAAAAAAATCAAGATTAAAATTTTATTTTTAATTTTTGAATTTCTCAAATGGCGAAATTTTTGGGCGAACAAAAAAAATGTACGCCCGGTCAAATGGCGTGTTTAACGCATCCCTAAAAATATTAATGAAGTTGTCGAAACAATATGTTTCAGAAATTCATAGTGAATTATAAACAAATAACATATGAAAATGTAAAAAAATTCTAAAATTCATAAAAAATACAAACAAGTTTATAAATAACAAAGGATAGAATGGCTATCATATGCCTGTATCATTAAATTATCTGGAGCATTTCTAATTATCTCATCACCATGATGAAATACATATGTTTCATCTAATCCTGAGTGCCAAGCAGCAATCTGCTTAACTCTTACAGGTGTTTTGAATTTGTTTAGTGGAGGAGGACACTTGCCAAAGGCAGACCAATTCTTATTTTTCAGTTGATCTATATCTTCGTAGAAAAGTGGCCAACCAATAAAAGATTTCAAATGGACATCTTCAAAATTGAGCTTCATCAATGATATAAACTCTTCTGTGGTAACGTCATCTCCAACTTTATCATGAAAACTAAAGAAATCGTCAAAATATCTTTTTTTCTCAACCCAAAAACGAGCTGTAAATCTATTCAGTATCCATCCGGAACCTCCATGGATGAATCCAACAGATGTATTGATCAATTCAGGCGTACAGTATTGACTAGTTATCATAAAATTTTGGTGTTTCAAATCTAACTTAAAAATCTCGTATGCTAAGTTTTCTGCATCTACATAAACGTCTTCTGTACATCTGTACACATAATTATATCTAGTTTTTAGAAAATATTTGTAAAGTGCAAAATTGTTGTGATACATCTGTCGGTGCTTGATTGTTTCATTGTGTTCTTGCGATAATATAACCATTCTTGGATCGATAGTGTTATTTATTGAAGTTAGCATTACTTTTGATTTCGGATATAGTTTCATGAAGTTTCTACCCCATTTATTGTATGAGTAATATGCTCGTTCACAGTTTGGGTTGTTGCAATTGATAGATATTAAAATTTGTGGATCGTATTTCGAAATTTTTGTTGGAGGAAATGGAACAATGTGTCGGATTATTTCCATAACTATCGCAGATGCAACTAAATAATAAACAACTTCTATTCGTTTCTTTCTTTTTTCTCTTACTTTCATTGAAAAGTGCCAATAATAATTTGATTCCGAAACACCGTTCATGAGTCACTATTCTATTGAAAACTGTACTGACCCACCTACTGCTCAAATATAAATGATACATGTAGCACAAATTTTCCATCTAGATCTAAAAAATATTGAAACTCTAAAATTAAGATTATTTTCTATATCGTTATTTGATATTTATATAGGAAAAATCAAATATATCTATAAAATAGAGTGTTCATGTAGTTATAAAATACCTAGATAATAAATATTTTTGCCGTAAAAGCTGATTTAAAAAAAATTCCAATTAAAAAATGTTATTTCAATTTTTTGTCGCGAAATAATTAGATATTTTCATTATTTTTCTCGAGATCGAAGAAAATTTGGAATTACATAGAAAGATTTGCATCCATCTACAGCAACCAAATAACTTATTACCGCAAACTGAATTGAAAATTTCGAAATTATTCAATCCAATTTTATTAAAATACAAGAGAATAGACGAATGTTGTATAGAAATAAAGCAAGACTCAACGTGGTATGACCTTTGAAAACTGTTTTTGATGAAAACTATCTCTCCACCTAAGAATTCAGTTGAAGCTGCTCGCATGCAGGACTACATTGTCTTTTTCGATCTACCACATTCGGATTCGCGTCAAGGCCGCTCTACAACTTCAAGATGCAACACATAACCCATATGAAGACGTACTTGAATCATTGAGCGGAAAGCCAATCATTCAGCTAGTCTGCTTGGAGATGAGGACGAAAATTAAGATGATATTTCTACCGTTCTCATTCACCATAAAGCTCAATCACTTTTAAAAATGTGTTCGAAAAGTTCCGTGTTTGAAGTAAATATTTTCTTACATGATATGAATAATGAGTATGTTCTGTGAAACATTAGAAAGAGAATATTTTTAATCAAGCATAAATTATGAAATTTGATTCATTAGAAAACTTGCATTGTATAATTATGAAAGGCTTTTCTAATCATTTTCTGCACCATGAGAAAGAAGAAATTCAACAATTTCATTGCTGTTTTTTGATGATGCAATATTTAATGCTGTTTGACGTTCACAGTTTCTTGAATTGATATTTGCACCATGTGAAATTAAAAATTCAATTGCTTTTAATCTATCATTAGAAGCAGCAAAATGAAGTGGTGTGTCTCCGTGATGGTTTATTGAGTTAATGTCTGCACCATGTGATAAAAGCGATTCCATAATCTCTGTATCAAATAATGAAGGCGCATAATGAAGAGGTGTATTCCCACTATAATCTTTTGAATTAATATCAGCACCGTGTGAAATTAATAGATCAGCAACTTTGCTACAATTCATGTATGCAGCACGATGAAGAGGTGTATCACCACTATTGTCCTGTGAATTAATATCTGCACCGTTTAGGATAAGAATTTCTGCAACTTCCACATGATCGTTATCAGACGCCTGATGAAGAGCTGTTCTACCATTAATATCTTTTTCATTGATATCTATACCATGGGAAATAAGAATTCTTGCATTTTTTGAACGGCCTCTTTTTGCTGCGTAATGAAGAGGTGTTCTATCAAAACAATCTTTAGCTTTGATATCTGCACCATGTGAAATAAGAAATTCAATAACTTCTGGTAAACTTTGTTGTGCAGCACAATGAAGAACACTTTCTCCATTGTTATCTTTTGCATTGACATATGCTCCATTTGAAATCAGAATTTCATTTATTTTGACATTTGAATAGATGCAGAATAATGAAGAATTGATTTACCTTCTTTATTTCTTGAATTGACATCTGCTCCATGAGATATTAAAAGCTTTATTAACTTTTTTGATCCTGAGAAGACAGCCCAATCAAGAGCGGTATCACTAAAGTCATCTTGTGCATTGATATTTATACCAGAGTTAATAATTAGTTCAACAATTTCATAATTTTTATTGATTATTGCAGAGTGGAGAGGTGTTCTTCCTTTGCTATCTTTAAAATAAAGATCTGCTCCATAAGAAATACGGATTTTTGCGATTTTTGTATTTTTACCTGAAACTGCTAAATGAATTGGCGACGATTCACCTGATTTATCTTTTGCATTACAATCTGCGCCATGAGAAAGAAGGAATTTTACCGTCTTTGTATTATCATTTTCTATCTGCCGAAATAAAACTGTTTCTCCATCTTTATCTCTTGAATCTATATTTGCTCCATGTGATAACAAATATTCCCAAAGGGAAGCAAATTAAAATCAAATGAATAAAAGAAAGCATTGTTGATGTCATTAGTTCGATCGATATATGTTAGAAGTGCTTGAATATTATTATATTTTCCACATGCTTCTAAATCAATATTTAATTTGTATTCATCCATCAAAAATATAACAAATTCGATGCTGTGTGACATAATTGCATATTCCATGGATTGTTTGTCTGGCTTTATTACTTTCAAACATTCTTTTATAATCTCTAGGTTCTTTCCAAGAAATGAAAAAAGGAGACAATAATAACTGATTTTTGTTTGAAATTTTGTTCTTAAAACATTGAAACAATTGATTGAACCATGATAACAACATAGTTCGAGTAAAGAATGTTTATAATATGGAATTGGATAGAAACCACTTTGAAGTTCTTGGTTTTTATTGAATCCATCCTTTTCTGTGAACTGTATAAATGATTTTACATCATCATCCATTATTGCTCTGTAAATCGTGTTTTCTTCATGAACTTCAATAGAACTGTTTTGAATATTATATTCTTTGATTCTATCCATGTCTATAAAATTGAGATCGACTCCAAACTCTTTGTTGAGAAAGTAACTGAAAACAGTTGAACCAGGTAGAACTTCTCTTGTTGAATTTTTGTAAATCTTTTTGAATAATGTCCAATATGATTTAAAGTAACGACAATTGCATTCTGATGCAGTTGTTATTATATCAAGAACATCAGATGAATCTAATATTTTGGTTTCAATTAATTTACTTTTGATATCTTGGCAAATTTTGTTAAGTTCATCTTCATTTGTTGTATTAAGTTTGTACAATGAATTCATTATATCGTTATAATCATAACATATTGCCATGAGTTCATAATAAACTTCTTTATTCATTTTTTGTTTCCATAAATTGCGTAAATTGTCACTTTTCCTCCATCATAATTAACAAAGTTTATTTGCACATAAAATAATGCATATAGATAAAAGAATCAATATTTGTGATTCAAATGCTGTTCGGTATTAGAATCTAAAATAATTACACTGTTATTGCATTTCTAACAGGCTTCACGACTAGAAAAACTCCGCCTCGTTTCTTAATGAAAAAGAGTATTGTGCCTACGATAGATAAGATTATTACTATTGCAATTAAGAGTCCGCCAGAAAGCTTTATCGGCATAACATTAATAGACCTAGTGGGAGTTGGTGGTGGGCGCGTTCTCTTTGGTTTGCAGAAACAAGTTCCAATAAAAAATATTAAAAGGCCTATCATGTAAAATAAGGTGACGAAAAAATTTTGAGTAAGCTCTCTGAAAAATATCTATTGAACATAAAAAGTTGTTTTGGATTTGAATAGTTTACATATAGTAGAAATATTTTGAAATGATAAATATAACGTTCTTTTGGTTGATTATTATTTTAAAAATAAGTTAGATTAGATTGATTTGAATATTATGATTTTAATCGATCACAAAAATTATATAATTCAAAATTGGAATATTATACTTTATGATTATAACAATGCCGTTTGAACAATAACTACGATTCAATTTTGAAATCATTGAAAAGTTGTTCTCAAAATTATTGCCGGTATAAATTAGCACTCAAAATTTATATCAGATTTATCAATGATAAAGCCATAAAATGCTGGATTATTCTGATTTCGATGCCTAATCAGTTTGAAAGGATACAAAAATGTTTCAATGCAAATAAATTATCAATATTATATTGTTAGATTAATTTTAGTCTAAGAAAATTTAATATTTATCCAAATTTTGACAATGATTCAAATAATTTATTTTAAAATATTGTTTCCATTTGTAATACAATAAGAAACAAAAATTTTTATTAGAATTCAAAATGTTGGAAATTAAAAATAAAATGATTCTGAGTAATTCTTGAAGAATTCAACTAATGCCCCTATCATGGTTTGTATTTCGAACTATTTTAACTATTATGGTTCAAAAAAAGATAAAATTTATATTCGAAATATGACATTGAGAAATAAATATATGAAAAATCAGCATTCAAATATTGTCCAAGGTAAATTTATGTAAGACCTCTTGTACTATTTCAAATTTTTAATCAAAATTCAAATATTTGTATTTAACTATGCTAAAACTAATAAGCAAGGCACCTAATTCAACGAAATTAGGTGGCAGCGTATGTATTTAATAAAAATAGACGATGGAATTATAGTTGCTTTTAAGAATTCAATGGAATGATATGGCTAACAGAGCATTAATTATGACGGTTAGTGCTTACGCTAGATTACTCGTGAAAGTTTTTCAATTGAAAAAATCAATTTTGAAAATTGAGTAAAAGAAAATAAAAGCGAATGTAGATAATTCGAATATTACAAGATTCAACATTTCAATTCAAATTACCATCCCAAACTGGTTTTGTTTTATCGACTAGATTTCCTTTTGTTGCAAACGTGCAATAAATAGTCTGACCGAATATTTCGGCTCCATCCATGTTATCAATTGCTGCTTCAGCATCTGATTCGTAATTAAACTCGATTAATGCCTGGTTGCGATCCATTTTCATTTTAATATCTGCAAGATCTCCAAATATTACAAATGCGTCTTTGATTGTTTGTTCTGTTGTTTGAGGTGGAAGGTTGCTAACCAAAATTATGCATCTATCAGTCATTGAATAAAATTGTCACTTTTTTGGTTTAAATTTGATTTTGCATGAGTTATTCTTTATGTTACTGTGTTATCCAATATCAATACGTAATATATAAGATAAATTTCGATTTATTATTTCAATCTCTTCATTATTTCAAAGGGAAATTGTATTTTAAATAAAGATGTGCTCAAAAATTTATGAAATTTTAGAACTTCAATCATTTTATATACATTTTCATCATATGTTATATTGTTTATTTTTTTAAGGTATCGAATTTATTTTCATCTGGTTAAAAGAATGAGAATTAATGAAAATTAAAAATAATTTTTTTAGCAAGTTGCTGAACCAATAATGATATCCATACAAAGTAATTACATAATGAAATGATACTAAGTGGTTACAGGTTATTGCAAAAGAAAGAGTGATATTAGTCTTGATATTGACAAAATTTTCTTTTGCATACAAGAAACAATAAGAAAAACATTAATTTGAATTGCAGAAATATATAATTCCGGATTTAAAGGTTCATTGTTATGCCTACTATATATCAAGGCAAGAAGTTCAGAAGTACTTCTAATGATGGTGTAATAATCTTTTTTTTTACAATAAAAAAAGTTTCTTTTTTATTCAAATCATGTAAATCAAATAATACAATTATAATAAAAAAATTATTTCTTCTTATCAATTAAATAAGTTACAACAGGTCCATTCTTAATTTCTATTTCACCTCTTTCTTTGATTTCGAATGGTCCTCCGTAAATCAATTCGTAGACAGCTCTGCTTACGTGTACTTTCATTGGAACACCGTGATGTTCCATTTGTTGTGCCATGTTGATTGCAGGACCCAAAATTTCGAATGTTGGCTTCTCTGTTCCCAAAACACCAGCAACAATAGGACCGCCAGTGTTTACACCAACTCTTATCTGCAAATTTTGGTTGATTTCCTGGTTGACTTTCATCAAACCTTCGATACATTCCAATCCAAATTCAACGACATCTTTCGCGTGAACTGCTGGTTGATTTACATCAGCAAAGATACCTCCTGCTCCCATATAGCAATCACCAATGCATTTGATCTTTGTCATCGTTGTATGCATCGCACAAATTGAGTCGTACTCTTTGGAAATTCTGTTCAAAGCCGCCATAACCGTTGATGCAGGCAAACTTCCACACCAAGGAGTAAAACTAACGATATCCATGAAAACGACAGTAATACTTTGCACCGCGAAGTTGATATTCTTTTCTCCGGCTTGTACTCGAACAACTAACCTTGGTGGCAAAATTGATGCCAACATTCTGTCACTTTTTGTACGTTCATCAGCGATTAATCTGTTGTACATCACTGTTTGAGTGTCATCTCTTAAACTGATGATTATATTGTTATTCAAAACAGTGAATGTCAGATTTGCGTGGACTTCCGTGTTATCAGCTTTCTTGTAGATATAAGTTGCCTCGAAATCATCTTCACTTGTCAGTTGTTTCTTTGTGTTGTTTTCGATCTTTTCGAATGGATTTCCACTGGTAAAATTCTTTCCAAACACAGAAACGTTTTGTCCAACAAGTTCTTCATTGTTAATTCCGAAAATTCTTGTAATAGAGTTATTCGCGGAAATAACGTTTCCTGTAATATCCAACATCAATATTCCATCAGGCATATCTTTAACTAATACTTCATAAAACTCCGCATCTCCTGTAGAAGATTCGTTTCTTCTATCTTTGAAGTTTCCTGCTAAAAGTTGGGCTAAATATGGATTAGTTATTACGATATTTCCTGGACAATGCAACAACAATCTCAAAGCAAATTTTTGACGATTTTCGGAATGAGACAAAACAACTAAAATTGCGATTTCAAATATCAAACCAACAACCAAAATAATAACAGCTCCTGATGTATAATATGGGTCATCTTTTTCAAGGGAACTTGTCATTGTTGGCACAATCTTTTAGAACAAATCATTATAATACATTTCATATAAATGAATGATATGTACATGCCAAAGATGTGTTAATCTTGTATCATTAGTATAAAACGCAATTCCTTCATTTTGATATTTAAAGACCATTGATTTCACTTCAGTTTGTACATAAGTTGTCAACAAATCGGGATTCCAACATCTATAAACATCATGAGTAACAGCAGGAGTTTGTCCATAAACACATCCTTCAGGTGCAACACCAGCTAATTCTTCAGCTGTTAAAATAGAAAATGCTTCAGTGTTCATTGAAGAATTTCCATATCTTACAGCTTTGTAATTAATAATTCCTTTGTCTTGCCATTCATTAACAATTGGAATTAATGATTTAGCTGTGTATCCGTATACAGGGTATCCATCAAATTCGCATGCCAACATATTAACAACTAAAAGAGAAGCGAAATCATAAGAATAAGCAGCCATCATGTAATCGATTTGTGGAGCAGAAAGATTCAATTCTTCACCACATCTTATTAAGAATAAACCTAAAATTATAACAGAACATAAATTACATAAAGCGAGGAATAACATACAAACAACAATTGTTATTGAATCACTTGTTGCTCCTCCATCACTTTCACTTGATGTTGAGAATATTTTCAGCATGTTTTCTTCTTGTTTGTTTAATTCATCATCATGTGTTGTTGAATTTGATTTCGAATGATCACTACCTTCTTTCTTAAGAACTTTAAATGAATCGGCAACATGAGAAACAACGTATTTTGGTAATGATGCAATTGCTCTGTAAATTGCAAGTTTGTCATGAGAAATATCTTTGACAATTACATAACAAGCAATTACATAAATAAAGAATATAAACAAACATCCGCCAATTAACGAATAAGTTGTGATTTTGATGGATTTGTCATCAGCAGATTTGATGTATTCAATTAAATTCTGTAAAGCGGCAGATAAATCAGCAGTTAAAACACGAGTATTTCCTATAATTGTTCTTATCTCGCGTTCTGAATTAGTTCTATTTGTTATTGAATCTTTTTTAAGTAAAGCTGTAACTAATACAGAATATTGCATAATTCCATGTTGTACAGATACACTTTCTGTTGTAGAATTCTTGGCAGGATCATCATTATAAGTTACAAAATTGACAGCGCTCTTATACATGTAATTTCTTACTGCTTCCATATTCTCATCTCCTGGTTTGAATGACATGATTTCAGCCAAATCTTGTGTCCTTTGTGTCAATGCGTCTGTCACGTATTTTAATTGTGTCCTAATATCAGTAGAACTTCCGAAATTAACAGCGGATTTTCATCAAACAATTGTAATGGTTTGAGATTAGTTACTTTCTCAGCAACATAATGATGTGACAAAGCAACAACTTGGAATATCTCTGCTCTTATTCTTGAGAGTTTTTCCATGAAGTTGAGAGGCTGTGTCATTGATTGGATGTTCTTAGGAATAAATATTGCAAGAGCAACAACAGGAATAATAAACAAAACAACAAACAAAACAATAATAAATATTCTTGCTGTTCTATATGCAGGAATTGATAATTCATTGATTGATTTTCTTACTGACATTCTTAAATCAGTATCTGCTTCAACGTGTTCGTCATCAGGATCAATTTCCTGTGTCAATGTGTTTTCTGTCAATAGATTTGCAGCTGCTTGATCTTCATCGGAATAATCAATGACTTTTGGTAATAAAGGAAACGCTCTCAATCCAAACTCATGTGTTTGATCAGCAATTACTGAAACACCACGTTGCAAAAGAGAAACATTTTGACGCCATGTATTATAAGCAGTAAAATCTGCAACAACATCACGTAAAAATCTGGAATATGCTCTTGCAACGAATCTAGAATTAGGGAACATTCTTATAAGATGTTGGAATTCAGCTTCACAACTATCTATTGCTATATATGCTCTATGAACAACACTTTCTAATTCATGGACATTTCCTTGGATAATTAAATCCCAAATATATCTAACTTTGTGTTTTGTTGCTTGAACTTGTTTTTCTATCTTATCTAGTTTCGTTTTCAGTTCAGGAATTAAGTTGGCTTCTCTTTGTCTGATGATTGTATTAATTTGTTGCAAAGTATGTTTGGCTAATGATCCTTTTAGCTTGTTCTGAACAATACTTACTGCAACCCAGTCCAATTGTTGTGTCTCTGCTGGATAAATAGCTATAAATTTGGCAAATGATAACCAAATTTGGACATCTTTCGGCCAATGCTCGATTCCTGCTTTGTACATCTTCCATGAAAGACAATATGGATGAGCATATCTGAATCCGGCAACGACAACATTGGAAAACATTGTTCTTTTGCCACATAAGTCTTGGAAAGACTCGGGATTCTCTTCAATTTGGTCGAGAATGAAGAGATATCGTGTGGTTTGTCGTTCGAAGAAGAACGAGCATGAAATAAAGATAATTATCCATGATGCTAATATTGCAAGGATGATATACTCTTGGCCTTTGATGTTGAGTATGTCGAAGATAACAGAGATCAATAACAAGATGGTTCCCGAGATCGATGATGCGTAAATGGCTTTTTTGTAGTTAATATTTACAAATCCACCGTATTGAAGGGTCGCAAATAGAATCGATATGTCCAAACGCATACAAGGCATGTAAGGATAATACGTGGTATCTTGGAAAGCTCTGAAGCTATGCCTGACAACGAATATACCATTAATGTGATGATTATGACACTGATTTGAACGGATGGAACAATTGTTTGTAATGAATCAGGTCGAAATGTAATGGTTACAGAGTAAATCGCCGACACCAACCAAACATACGCTAAAACTACGAAAATTACAAGGATAATGCCAATTATATGGAATGCGTTAAGATACTTTGAATGGTTATATATCATTCTTCCTATAGAACCAGTGGCCATTTCGCATGCAATTGGTGGTAATATGTAACCAGCGGTTCCAAAAAACAAAGATATTATAGGAGGAACGATCTTTGGTAACTTGGCTTGCTTCGAATAGTATACCGCTGATATAACTAAAAATATGTAGAAGATTATAAAAATGCAACCAAATATAACCATAAAATAAGGAGCTGCTTCGTCAATGTAACTGGCAGGAACAAGTGTGAAGAATACTGAGATTACATCATTAACAGTTGACATTCTACTCTTTTCTCCCCAGAAATTATAGTAACGGGTGCAAAAAGTTGGTCCGAAGAACTGTATAATTCGCCACACATAAGGAAGTCAATTTGGAAAATTGTTTTCACTTTAGGAGAATATAATTTTCCATTTGGAAAATTTAAAAAGTGAGACGCGCAGGATTCGAACTTTTTTAAAAGTTGATTTAAATGAATTTTAGTGTGGAATATAAGGATAATATCATATTTAAAATAAGAATATACTAGTTTATGTGGTATTAATTTTTTTCGATAAATTTGAGAGTATGTACGTTTAGGGCATGAAAAGTGTCAATTCGCTCAGCGAAAGCTGAGCTAGCTTCGTTCTCGAAAGAATAAGGAAGGAGTGAAGGAGAATGATACAGAAGTTGACACATTCATATCATTTCAACAAATTTTGATCAAATTGAAATTCAATAAAATTCAATTCAATTCATATCCTTCAGTCAGTACATTGACATCCTTCTGCATCACAATGATAACTCGGGCATCAATAGTTCTACAACTAACTCAGAAAAAACAAGATTATTACTTCCTGCTTACAGCTTTTAAAAAGTTTCGATGATAAAAATCACTCTACTCTCGTTTATCGACATATGGTGATAGTAGGTAAACATATTCTTATCGATATTAATAAAAATATTTGTACGAAAATCTTATCCAATTAGAGAGTTATTCATAAAGTATATGATAATTATAATTACTTTATCTTTGTTTTATCTTTGAATAAACAATTTAATTTAAATTGCATAATATTTTTTGGTTGAAAGACAGGAAACTTAGTTGAGTTTGTATTATTTTTATCGTTTAATTCATCGTATCAGTGAGTGATCCAGATATTTAAGATATTTAGAAAAAAAATTATTAATTTGATTAACAAATTTTAATCAAAATAGCAAAAATCTATTTGATAGCTGTAAACAAACAATAATTTTTATTTCAAGCAAAATCACTTATTTTCATCTAAATGTATAAAATTGTCAATTTTATGAAAATAAATTGAAAATCTCATGAAATGTAAAGGAGAGTAATATTTTTCAATTTTCTTTTTTCTTTGTCTCAAATATTTTCTGTTGGGAATTTTCTTGTTATCAAAAAATAATTTTAATATTTGTTTATTTCATTACATACAATAAAATTTTAAAAACTCTATTTCTTCTCAAGAAAATTTTTTCCTTCATATGAAGAAACATTTTGTTCTCCATTTGATACTGAGTCTAAATCTCGATTTTTGAATTTTCTTCTTTCCAAATTTCTTTTTTCCAAATTAGAAGTTTAATTCAAATTTTCAATAGTTTATATATTTTCTCAAACCGTCACAGATTTTCTCACTTTTTAGGGATTTTCTCTCAAAATATACAAAAATAGTAATATCAATACATGTGTCTAATATACTTTAAAACCATCGTGACAAAATTCAAAAACGAAGAGTTCTTCACTCCAAATTTTTTTCAAAATCAAAAAAATCAGATAAAAAAGTACGTTTGGAAAATTCATTTTTAGCATTTTAGGAATTTTCTCACTTTTCTTCCAAATTGACGTCCTTACCACACACTCATAATTATGTGAATTATGAAGTATGGTGGTGCCGTAGTAGTGACATAATCGAATAAAGTAAACATATTATTCCTCAATCTCTTGTACATTGAAAGCTGAATCATTCCTTGGTATCTAGATGATACATCAAAGGAACGCATTGAATTGCTTCCAAATGATGAAGTTGTAGTTGTTGATGTTGGATTTTTGAGGAATCATTAAAAACTTTTTAGTTCAGAAAAAAAATTTTAAAAAACGTATTGAATAATATAATTAAAATCTCAGTATCTTTTTTGTGATACACTATTAGTGGACACTAATATTAAAAATGACGAAAATGTATTTTTGAAATCCCTTGCAAAATTTTGAATGACAATAGAAATCTACCAAATTGACCGTAGCATTTGTAATAAAGATATTCCAATCAGTGTATTAATATCAATAATCAAAAAAATCACTTTGAATTCAAGTTTGAGAGTTTTTAAAATATGCTTTAAAAATAATTATTAATAAGGTCAATTGCGTGTATAATCCCTTTACACAAATTCAATGAGTGAAATTGATAGTTGCTTCAAAACATGTTTTCATGGTTTAACAAATAGTTTGTATAAATATAAAATAATGAAACTTTAGAATAGTAAAAAACGTTTTTTACAATTGACAATTATGACTCTAAATTAGTAATAATGAAGTAATAATCCAATTTAACTTGAATATATTCTCAATTAAAATGATATTGATTGAAATTTTGACAATTCCTACACAAAATATTTCTTTTCAATTTTACATTGACTAATATTATTTAATTAATAGTGTCATTAATATATTTAATTTTTCAAAATTGAATGTTGTGCCCACAGAATAACTTTCAACATTAATCAATAAAAGTAGAATATACCTTCTTTCTGACACTATCTAATTAAATATAATGAGGATTATGAATATAACTATGTCAATATTTTCCAAAAACACAGACAATCATTATATCTGGTTTTCTTGATGAAAAACATAATGTAATTCTTATGCCAGGATAATAATGAAATTTAATCATAATTAACATCATTCACAATTAGTCCGATTCGTTCTCATGCTATTCAATCCATTTGCATAGTATATTCTGATAAATTTGTTATCAGAAATTTTAGCATGTACAAAAACCTCAAAAATATTTTCCCTAACAAAACAATTGTTTTGTTTTATATAGTAATTTGCGAAATTGTCACATATTTTTAATTTATACCTCCTATGACAAAGTATCCTCTCCATTCCGATTGTTAATTTTACTTCATTTATATATTTTACTTTCATTTTTTCCATGTAAGGAATTTTGAATACAATTCAAATTTAAAGCTAATATAATTGTAATTATATCAATTTGTTAATCATTGATCATTTTCTAATTCAAAGGTACATTCACTATTTTTGACAAAATTTTAAATTTTCATGGGGTTGTAAATCTTATAATAACTAGATGAATAAGGAATGAATCCCAGTATAATGTGCATCATTATATTAAACACTATATGTAAGGCTAATGATTCTATTAACACTTATGAAGATCTATAGTATTTGAGCAGATAAATTTGATAATTTCCAAAACTCTTATATTTCAAAATTAAAGTGTGCGAATGCATTTAAATGAGAGCAAAAAGAGATTGATGCTGTTAAAACTAGGTGTTAATTTGCAATTATTTCGCATCACAAGAACTACCCAGTAAATTCGGCTATCTTTCTTTGCAATTATTCTCCATTATACATATAATATAATGGTTAGGGTTTGAAGAAAAAGTTACTAGAGAATTATTGACTTTTGAAATAATGCAGAATTTTACTTGAAGAAATCATTAATTTATGAGTTCCAAATTGCTAAGCATGACGAAGGATCATTAAATTTGCTACAATTAAATACACCTATTGCAGAATTAAGATTTTTGAAATTAAAAGTTTGAAATATTGCCTTTTTGAATAAAAATTTAAATTTTATTATATAATCATGATAATATCTTATAGAAATTAAACGAAAATATTTTAAACCATTCAAATATTTTGAATGTCTTATCAATTTCAAATATTAAAAGATAGCTTGATTTTATCATCATTAGTTGTTATCAAAGTTTTCTTCTTTTGATGAACAACAGTAAATGATTTGTTAATTACTTGTCTTCCTTTTTCGCAGCAAAATCGAAAGTTATGATGATAATCTTGCTCTCAATTTTGAAACTCTCTGATTTACAAGTAAGCATTCCTTTGGAAAAGCAGTCCTATTCTGTTTTCAAGATATTTTAAAGCCTCCATTTCATACAATGCGCAGATCTATTCGAAATTGCAAGAACTCTCAAGAAAAATGCAGCAGCAAAGAAGATTCCATAGTTTCTAGCATCAAAAATTTACAACCTTAATACAACAGTTAAAGAGAAGCTCGAAAAGAAAATATTTAACCATAAAGCTGGAAACCATTCGATATCTACTATTGGATCTAATAAAAAGTTAATTATAACATATTTAACATGCTATTTGTTGACTCTGTTCCATTATATTACCATATATATCTTTTTGAAATCTAAAATACTTTTACGATTTTAACCATGTGTTGTTGAAACCATATATCAATCTTAGCTAAAGTATAGTTTATGAGTCTGTCACCATCTAACGTATGAATTTTCAAAAATGTCAAATATGTTCATTTTTTCTGTAGATTCAGCCATAATTTCACGTTGTTATACTATTCAACTATTATTTAATATTTTTATCGATTTAAATATATGATGAGATGCTTAGTTCTCCTGGAAATCGATTTTTAATCGCAATTTTAACTTTCCAAAAAAAATTCAAAAATAAAAACCCCTCTCAATTTTCTAAGTTTTATAACTCGCCAAATCTCTAGCCAAATTTTTTTTGGCCCGTATAAATATTGTTAGGCACTATATAGGGATGCTATTTATCCTCTTTTCATCCCATTTTACTGTTATCGCCTAGTGAATGTACCTTTTCTAATTCAATATATCTGAAATGATTTAATTCAAAATCTTCTTCTCAATTCAGGTACAATTTTTTTTGGGTACGATAAAACGAGAGAAATGCATATTTAATGAAGTTAAAGCCGTTTCCCCAGTTTTAATCATGTTTTAACAACACAAACATATATAACAATTCATGTCCTAGAGTTTTTGAAATTCAATTAAATTTAATTCTGATTTTAAGCTTTTCTTTTACTCAAGAATATGTTCTCACATATTGTATCTAAATACTTAAGTTGAACAATGCAAAATTGTTTATTATTTTTTCTGTTTCTATTGATTCCTAATCATCTTGCTTTCCTTTCTGAAAAGCCATTTCCATTATCTCACATTAGCTAGTGCACTATTTGTACCTATACTATCTTGTGAGTTATTATATACACGCAATAGATCCCTTCTACCGTTAATATAAAATCATATAAATTAGAACATAAGCTTAAATATACTTAATTAACTGATTTATGGAATATTAGAACATAAACTCTAATATTGATTACTTTTTGGATAACAATTCTTTCAAATCTTATTAAAACATATTTTTGGCAATGAATAATGGGATTAAATCATTCGCTCAATTAATATTTGTTTCGAAACACATGATAGAGCACAAAAATAAATAAATTTTGACATTTTCATTAAATGTTTCCAGCAATAAGATTAACACCATTCGATGAAGCACTCAGACCATCATTTCTTGATACCAAAGAGATTCATGTGTGCATATCTAATCTAGGATACTATTATTCCATTGGACTTTATAATCAAATGAATGAATTGCATAACTTATCAAAACTTATGTTTAGCGAGCTGGAAAAGGATTTCTTTGCACTCAATGATCGAATTAAAGCCATTTCAGAAAGAATTAGTAATTTCAAGAGGAAAGCTCAAACAATAATAGAACATAATCAAACACTATCTCCTCAAGCATTTGCTCAAAATTCTTGCGTTCAAAACAAAATGCCAAATGATACGATAGTTCAAGATGCAAGGCTTGACAAAGCTGATGTTTTTGTGCAAAAACTATTAGACAAAGCATATCCTCCACCTTCTCTCGAGAAGTTTCAATGCGTTATTCCGAATTACAAAGATTTAGAAAAACAAATTTCAGATCCTAATCAATTTGCAGAACAATATAAGCAAGAACTCCTTTCTAAGTATAAAGAACTTGTTCAAAATGCGCAAAGGAAAAAGAAGCCTCATGTCACCTTTAATGAAACAAAACATGATGAAAAATCAAGAACAATGTTGAATGTTTACGTCCAAACGATATCTCCTCCATCAGTCACGTTACTAATACCTCCTCCACCTGGCCAAACTTCTGGATGGAGAGATTACGCATTAAAAGAAATGAAAGCTACACCAGCACAACAAGGTAATGAGTCAGCAGCACAATACATTGCTCCTGCTCCATCTGTTGCTCCTTCTGTAAGAGTAATGAACAGAAAGCCACAAAATACAAACATTTCACCACAAAGACAAACAGCTGTTGAAAACTCTCAGCAATTATATTCAAGAGAGACACAAAATTATACAGAACAAGCTCAAATTTCTGCACCTCAGAAGCAAATTGAAGAAAGCAAACCATTACCTCCACCACCTCCTCCTGTTGCAGCTCCAAATGTAGAACCACCTAAGCCTTCTGTTGCAGCTCCAGCCCAAGCACCTAAAGCTACTCTTGGACATCTTGATTTAATCAAACAAGGAGGATTTAAACTCAAGCCCGTCAAAAAAGAAGAAAATAAGAGCGAAATCAGAGAAGATATTGATCCAAGCTTGCTTACCGTTGGTGAACTCCTTGCAAGAGTTGCAAAAATCCGCGAAGATACAAAGTTGTCGGATGATGAAGATGAAGAAACATCTAGCAATACATCATACGATTGGTGATACTTCATAAATTTTATCAATATTTCGAATTTTTATAATTTTTTTTTGAAATAAGGTAGTCACAAAATCTAAGTAGTGAGGCTCTCAAAAATTGAACCGTACTCCATACAAAATTTGTGTACCCTCACTACTTAGATTTTGTGGCCTTCAATTGAGAGGTTAGTTTTGATAGAGCACGTTATAAAATTAAAAGGGAAAAATAAATAAAATTTAAACATTTAATTATATATAATGTAAGGAGTGTAATTCCAAATTTTCTAAAAACTATTCAAATTTGAGCATTTTTTGGAAATAGTAAATCTAATATGTACATCTAATAACAACATGATTCATCACCTTTTCAAGCTCTGCAGTCAATTTTTTGAAATTTGATTGAAATAAATGTAGCAAAAATTACATTTCATTAGGGAATATATGAGTTTCTCTGGAAACAGGCTGATAAATTTAAATTTTGTCCAATCAACATGAATGCATTGAGAAATTTGGATTGATTTTCTGGTAGAATCTGGAACAATTCAACCATGTATAAATGGATCATGTAATCATCATGAAATGTTAGTGTTAGAGTTCAAAGAGAAACAGAATGAGTGGAAATCAAACACAATCTGAATAATTTTAAACGTATACAATCTTTAAGTTTGTATTTTGAATTCTACATATATGATTGTGTAATTCGTTCTTTCAAATTTTCGGATTCAGGCATGTTTTGATAAAATTCATTCCCAAAAACGTCAATTAACAATTAAATTTAGTGTATTTTAAATATATATACGTATTATATTTTATAAATTATATTAAATTCGCAAAATTTTAAGTTTTAAACAAAAATAAAAAATCTTCAAAATATGAAAAAAAAAAAAAAAAAAAAAAAAAAAAAAGGAAGTGGGGCTTCCAGGCACTTCGTGCCCTCTAGCCCTGAAGATGTTTAGGAGAAATGAAGTTTTGAGGACATACATGACTTTGAGTTTAGATATGACAAGATAGAATATGAGAGAGGTCCTATAAACCGGAGAAAGTGTCATATAAACATCTGTCATTTTACTCAGAATTTTACTCAGAATTCAATAAAAATATATTTTAGGGTAGAAGGGTATATCTACCCCGTTTTCTAACCTCATTTCTACCCCATATGTCCTTACTGAAAATATGACTTTGACCGAGTAGTTTTTTGTGCTGAACAAAAAGTGTCATATAAACATCTGTCAAAAACCGCTTTTTAACTTCACTTAAAATGCCACGTAAGCTACGTAAGAATATACGTAAGAGGAAGAGAGCATTGAAACATCCAATAGTAAGACTAACACCACAACAACAGTTGCAACAACAAATGCTGAATGACCCCACTATGTTGCAACAAATGTCAAGCAATCCTATGCTTTTAAACCGAGTTGTTGGTGCACAGAGTGGAGGTTTAAGAGCGGCACTTTTAGCGAAAATGGCAGGCTATGGTGGAGCTGCAGACGGAACAGCCTATAACCCTCAAAGTCAAATGAATTTGAGTTCACTCAAAAATCAAATAACAGATGTCAAAAAGTCAAACATAGACATACAGAAGCAAATAAGTGAAAACGAAAAGAAACTAGAATATGACAGACACACAAAGAAACTCAATGAGTTAAACGTAGAGAAAAAGAAGAAAGAAGAACAACTGAAAGAACTAAGTACAGAGGAATATGCGAAAAAAGTGTCAGAAAAAGCAGCAGAAGTAGCAAAAATGGAACAAGATGTCATAAATTTGAAAAACCATACTACTCAATATAAAATACTGAAAGATGAAGAGATAAAACAAAAAGCCCTGAAGACATATATGGATAGCGATGAGTATAAAAAAGAAGTTGAAGCAAATGTAAAGGCAGAAAAACTTTTACAGTTGCAAAACCAAACCGTACAGTATGAAAACTTAGCACAAGAAAGTAAAAATAACGACGCGGCTATGCAAAAGGCAATGAAAAGCGCAGAATATATAAAAGCTAACAATGACTGGTTAGATGCCCAAGCCAACGCTAAAGCAGCCCAACTCATAGGGTCAATAAGGACAAAAATACAAGCGGATGAAGACAGTTCAAATGAAGCTTTAACAAATGCTGACTTTAAGAACGCCTTCGAAGCTCTTCATAGTAAGGTGAAACAAGTGAACGACTTCTCATCTGGAAAGAAACTGAAGTCTGAAGGTTTCGACAAAGAGTTAAGAGAAGTAGCACAAAATATGACGAAAATAACAGATGCAGCAACGAGACAGGCAGTTCAAAGTGCCTATGACGCCGTTAGAGCAACTGTTGTGAAAAGTCAAGAAAAAGAGTTACAACAGACCAAAACAGACCTAGTAAATGCTTTCTTAAGAACGAAAAGTCAGGTAGGACATTACGCTGCAGATGGAACATATGTGCCATCTGGTGGAACTTATATACCACCAAACCCTCCAAGAGAAGCACCTGCACCAGGACTACCTAGAACATTTACATCGTCACATGGACACAGACACAGGCATGCACAACAACCAGCACAACAACCACCTCCACAACCAGCACAACAACCAACACAACAACCAGCACAGCAACCAACAGTTCAAAACCCTGCACAACAACAACCACAAACAGAGCAAGGACATAAAAGAAGTAGAGAACAAGGAAACCAAGAATTCTTAAAAATGCTTAAAGAAGAGTGTGGTTTCCCAGATACTGTTGACTTTAGTGACAGATATAAAGAAGCTATTAGAAAGTTCAAGGATGGAAATACTGACCCGAACCTATTTAGCTTTATGGCTCAGCACCAAAACGGATATAATCTCAAACCTGGAAAATACAAGCTCGCTAAGGGATATGATTTAATAGCATATCATCCAAATGACATGGATGAATTTACTCCGAGATATTTGATGTCAGAGCTAAATGACAATTCAACTTTCGTCATGAAACGCGTAAAAAATAGAGACGGAACGAAAGAACAAAAGCTTATGAATGCGGATGACGTAGATAGGGAAATTGTTGAAAACGGTCTCGGAATATATGAAATGCCAGCAGATGAGGTACAAGAAACTCCACAGGAAGAAGTTCAGATACAACCAGACATGGAAGAAATAGTTCAGCAACAACAGCTAGAAGAGCCTGAAGGAAACGAACAAGTCACTCCTTTGGAAACTAACTTCACAGAACTAGATGAAGATTTGGAACAGCCGAAAAATCTTGACCCTCAACAAGAGTATGCGGAGAATATGGAATATTTCCAAGAGTCTAAAAAAAATTCGGCTGACATAGTAGAAGAATATCGAAAAATGTTTGCCGACATACAAAAGACTCCAACACCAGATGAAAATATTCAGCATAGAATGGAAGAACTGAAAAAAATGTACACAAAATACAACAACCCTTTTTACTTACGAGCATTTAACGTTCAATCTTCGGATGAACTCGGTGAAAATAAAAGGTTAAATTTCAAGAAAACATATAGAAATGAAACATTGTTTAAAGTTCATTCAGAACCTAACCAAGATGGAAACAAACCTACTTTTGTTTCTGCAGACGATGGAACTACAATGAGATGGGGTCATAAAGCTAATCCAGATAGGTGGTTCATAAACTTACAACCACAATTCCAAGAAGTTGTAGACGCAATGGAAGTGAATGGTGAACCAGATATAGCTGGTATTTTAAGCGCGGCTTTAATGCCATTGAAAGATATGAAAGATGCAGATATTTTGGACCAGTATGAAATGAACATGGCTGATGGAAATATAACACCTGACGTTCTAGAACATTTATCTCAAAGAACTACACAGAACCATAGAGATGGTATATTTGGTGAAGAGTTTAGAAAGAAAGTTAGGGAAGAGAAGGAAGAGAACCTATTGTACATGACCTTGCAAACGAAAGTTTACAAAATGTCATAAAAACTTACTTTGCAGGCGATGAATCGAGAAGGGATGAAATATTTAAGAAAACTCAAATGGACAGTACCAAATGAAATGTTAGTATTGAAAAACATGTTCCTTGACAAAATAAAACCAACTACAGAAATAAATGACGCCAAGACTGAAAGATTGGGTAAAAGCTTTCCCATTCACAAAAGATATAGTTGGTAACATGGAAAGAAAACCAGAATGGCTACAAAAAACATATATTTGGAAACGAGCTTATTCCATATGGACAAGCTCTGTTTGAAGAGCTTGAACCAGAAACTCAGGAAAGAGTCATGCAAACAATACGCAAAGACTCAAATACAGACTATGACAAAACTCTTTCTAGGATATAGGTTACCTGAGATGGGCGACCAGAGCAAAAGGCAAAAAGGACATGGGAAATTTGCAACATACTAGATGAACATAATGCAAAGATGCAACAACTTCAAGCAGAGGGCAATGAAGGAAAAAGAAGAGTTAAAAACTCAGTCAGGAAGAAAGTAAAGCTTGGTCCACGTGGGTTCTATTATGAACATATAAATCCAACTATTCTATATTTTTACTCATATGAAATGTACGCCGCTCAGAATATAACGCCAACAGTTTTGGATGCTATGAATGGAAATGTTTTCCGAATGGTATAACGAATGCGACAATGCCATTAGAAGGTCAGAAATAGTTCCTGGAACTTACGAATATACAACTGCTGTTTCTTATGGAAATGTAGGTGAGTTTGAGAAGGTTCTTCAACAACAGTAGATATTGCTTGCGACAGGTTTCATATTATTTCTATTGACAACTCATTCTTATACGTGGAACAAGACATTGAAATAAAACCTTCTGCCAAGTTGTCTGACAAGAAAGGTTGCAATGGAATTTTCTATGTCGGATACCAATATGCTCCAGAAAGTTTTTCATGGGATATAAGATATATTCTAACTCTGACTTAGTTCAAACAGTAACATGGGCAAACTATGAATGTTCGCTTTGAGAAACTCAGTACAACCACAAGCTAGAGACAAACAGACCAGTATGCAACTATTGAGAAAATAAGAAGACTTGACCCTAACGTTCCAGGAGTTTATGTTGACCTTTCTGGACAAAC